TATTTTTCCAATTTATAGAAGGAGAAAGCTTTGGCGACGAGCCCTTATATTGCCGCCTCAGCCTGTAGCAGGACAAATCCTATTGGAAGAATCCTAGAGCAATTTTGCTACGTTCCTTAAAGTTAACTGAATTCGAAACAACAATTAGCTATGGATGTTATGCACATTCGAACCTCTATTTCGAAATGCTTCCCAAAACCTGTGAGCTAGTCCGACCCTCGCCTTCTCTCCTAGTAGCCTTTTCACAATTCTTTATGCAGTTCTCCTGTTCCTAGCAGCGACAATAGCGTTATTCAGGTCATGTACCTGGAGAACGTCAGCCATGAATAGCATGTCATTCGAAATTGCACGCCACGAGAAAGCTATAACAGCTCGAAATTGGAAACAGCTGCAAATGTCACGATATAACTTGTTACAACAAACAATAATCAATTATAGATTCTAATACTATTGGGCTATTTTGGGGATAATCGAACTGTCCATTTCCTAGCATAAATGATAGTAGCTCACACTTCAAGTGTGACACTTCAAGAATAGTCAATATATACGATATATATGCATATATATACGACTAGAATAATGGAGTACTATAAGAAAATTATTTTCGAAGGATTAGTAATATTAGCGCTTATGGTCAATTCCCAGGTTCGAACACGTCTGCCTAGTTCTTACAAACAGTGAAGTCGACGATTTCCACGAAACGTATCTGGCCAACTTACCTGGTAGGTCGGTGGTTTTCGAAGCACAGGATAAATATTTTGGGTCACAGCCAGTCAAGTTCCATGAGAATGACGTCGATAAAATGGGCTTCAAACGGGTCCTGAAGATCAAGTATGGTTGTCAAGTAATGGCGACCGTGAATGATTCGAAGGGTAGATATGTTAACGGTGATTTTGGAACGGTAGACGACGTGGGCGATCCAAGCTCGCCAAATCCTAGGATTTCCGTGAAGTTTCGCCATAATGCTAGAGCGACAGCAGTCACAGCCCAGGAATTTTCGGTTTACCAAGATGGAAAGAAGATATTTAGCCGTAAACAAATCCCATTAGCCCTGGGGGCATGTATGACAATCCATAAAACAGTGGGACTGACGCTACCTGGCATTTGGTGCCGGTTTAGTGGGGCGGCCGGATCCTCCGACCACCAGATCGCGGAGTTCTGGGGTAAGCCCTGGTTGCTGGGAGGGATGTATACGGCCCTGAGCAGGACAGGCGATAGGAGAGCGGTGCGCGTTTACCCGATACGTCGGATGAATCCACTAAATGAAAACGTCCTGCCCATGTATTTTATGGATAGCGAGGCACTGGAGTTCGACAGGAGGTGCAGGCAGCGCAATTGGCTAGCATTTCACCATGATGAGAGCGCAGGAGACGCGCCATCAACCGAAAATTCCCAATCTAACCGAGAGGCCTCTGCCGACCCTACAATAATACGATCAGATATTGGTGATTCCCAGACACAGCATCAGCTCACGATGCTCCGTCAGCAGATGGATGCTATGCGAAAAGAATTTCTAACTCACTCCACCCGCTTCTTTCAATGTCTCCAATACGAGACTGGATCGGGTATAAATCCTGTCCTATATTGCTGGTCGAAGCCTAGGCTTCGCGAGGCAGTCGATAGCCTGCCAGAGGAGATACAAGCCGACTTCTATAAAAAAGTAAGAGAAGAATTCAACGGTGCAGAACCAGACGATGATCGAATTCTAGGACTTGCAGAGTCTCTATCCAACACTACAACAACGAATTACAGAAGAGCTGAAATTGATCACCTTCCGCACATCGTGAGACGCGAAGACCCCATTATTACATCTCCTGCTATGTCAGCGCCAACACACCAATCGCAAGCTTCATCCGAAAGCCCGGCCACGATGAATCTTGCTGATGACGAAAGCAGTGAAGAGCCTGAGAATACAGACGAACTAGAGGATACATCCAGCGACGACTCCTCCTACCTCGAGCCCGAATCCCCACGTCATGACCCTAGCTCTGCAGAAGAATCTAAATTCGAGGAGCATGCATTCACTGTTATCAGCGGTTCTCTAAGTGATGTCGTCAAGCAGTACTTGCAAGATCACACGCATTTCGCTCTGGAGCATGGTTACAGTATTAAGAACCTCAAGAGCCGGAAGTCGTGTAGGCTTCGGTGCCGAAGAGCGGTATCTAAGAGATATGCAAATTAGGTTATCACTGATAATCAAAAACCGGATTGGCGCCTATGGGGTGATTTTACTTGCAAACTGTCGGCTGTTCTGATTAAAGAGAGTAACGCCCGTTGCTATTTTTACGGGCTACGAGGGGCTACAACAGAGCGGGATGAATGGCTACAACATTCCCACCCATATAATACTTGGCAGTGCCGCAGTAGCTATTTGCCGCCAGATGTCGTCGACGATTGGGCTTTCTGGGCCGCCGAGGAGCCCAGTATAACCATGAGTGACCTGAAAAGCAGGACGTTACAAAGAAATCTCAGAGGAGAATATAGCCCCTCGACGGCAGCATTTCTAGCTACAGATGGACTTTGTAACAATACGAAGCTTCGCAACGTTTACAGATCCGTAAAAGAGAATGGCAAGTCTGGACTCAGTATTGGCCGTTTCCTCAAGCAAGTACAGCCCTTGCTAGGACAATATTCTACGCTCAGCGACCAGCTACTACCTATAATCTCCAGCTTAGACGCTGTCGATGGAGGCCGGGCTTCCAGTGATGACTTGCAGCAGCAGCGCCTTGCGGATCAGTGTATCCTTTTGGAAAACATTCTCTACGAGCACGGGTCAGAGCCTGGAAGAATGAGCAGCGTTGAGGACTTCGCGGCTATATTCACCAGCCCGCGAATGTTACGCAATCTCCGTGGAGCCAGGGCTTTGGGTATCGATACGACGTTCAACGTTCTGCATGCCAGAACCGTCCTTTGCGTTGTCTGCAAACTAACTAAGAAAGGAGCAGCAAAGCCTGTTGCACTCGCTCTACTACAGAGTGAAAGTGCCATCTCGGTGAAGCACGTGCTTGAGCAGCTCAAGCATGTAAGCACTCTTTTAGACTTCAATGAACCTGATCCAGCTGACATGGTGATGGATGGCTCATCAGCCCTTCATCGTGCTGCTATGGATACTTACGGTGGAGCTGTACGCATCATCAGCTGTTATTTCCATGTGACACAGCAAGCCCGAAAGATAAAGATGGAGTGTGGCCTGCCGACATATCTATGGAAAACAGTCAAAACGGATATTGAAGCCCTCGCAGACTCCTGGGATCGCGAAGAATGGCTTCGACTACGAGTATTATTCATGGCAAAATGGAGAGGTACTACATAGGAACACGCGAAACTTGAAAAAATGCAAAAAATTTAGAAATTAAATTTGCAAAAAATTAGAATTGCCGTAAGTGTAAAGAACTAAACCTCAATTCCGAGCTCATATGGAACATTTTGACCGTTCCGATAGTACATAAGAGATTAGCCGTATATCCGTAACTACCTTTCACCTCATCCGAATCTGCACAGTACGCCAGACTACTTCAGGTACATCGACAAGAGAGGGTGACGCATATAATGACGAGCTCAGCAAGTTCTTCGACAAGTTCGCAGAGTACTTGAACCCGGCAAAGTGGCGTAGTTATTGGGGCACCTATGCAGGACAAAGCATAGGTCCACGCACAAATAACTGCGTGGAACGCTTTAACAAAGAAATTAAGGCTCTGCTGACACCCCACAGGAGAAGGCTTACTCTATCAGAGTTCGGCGCTATTATTAAGCAGCATGCTCCATGGGTTAACATCTCCCAATACGGAAGAATAGCGGATCCCCGTGGTCGACCTACAAACGAGATGAGGCAGAGAGCTGCGGAGCATTACGTACTTAACACTTTTTCCCAAGTCCCCCGCTCATGGCATTCCAGCTACGTTGCGGACATAGCCGCTCCAGCAATTCAGTGGATATTCGTGGACAAGTCGCTCATCAGTAACTGGAGAGAAGGGATTCGACAGCTGATGAACGCGCCGAATAACGCCATTTTGAAGAAATTCTGTGCCAGTCAGTACGAATCGCTAGATGAAGCTATTGATTTAAAAAGCAAGATATCGATTGTGTCTTACCAACGAAGCGCCGATCCGACTCTGGATCCCCCAGCAGGTCCGTGGTGTAGTTGTAAGGAGTGGGTGAAGAGCTGCATTTGTAGTCATGTGCTCTGCCTCGCCTTCACACTCGGTTTCGAAAGCAGTGCCGAAGCTGTTCGTGATTGGTCCATAACATTGCTCGATTTGGTAACCATCCCAAAGAGAGACAACGTGGGCAGATCATGGAGCC